TTCTAAAGCTGACTCAGCGTTCGAATGTGATTTTTGCAAACGGTGGGTGCACTGCCGTTGCGACAAAGAGGTGCCGAAATCATACTACGAGTTTATGAGAAATAACCCGTGCCTGTGGTTTTGGTACATCTGTCCATTTTGTCGCCCTGGCATAGTCACACAGAGCGTGTCTGCGGATAGCAGAAACAGCACGCCGCCCTTGTGTCCCAACACGGCCTTATGCAGCTCCCCACCTGCTAACGTCACACTGCCAAAACTTGGCACAGACGGTAAGAAGGACACTCCAGTCCTACTGACTGAAAATGCCAATTTTCACAAGGTGAAGATTCAAAAGGTTGGACCCAAAACATCAAGGAAAGATAGAATTAGAGAAGCACCACTTGCATCCACAAGCAAGCTTGGTAACACAATAAAGGCTGGCCAGAACCCGATGAAGCCTAAAGTTGCTGATGCTGCAAAGGAATACGAGAAGCAAAAGGCCAAACCTAAGTCTGAGGTTAATTGGTCTAATTCGCTCATCCTCTTTAACGTACCTGTGAGCAAGGACAGCTTGCTTGAACAGCGGGACCTGTTTGATCAGGAACAGTGGTCCAACCTGTGCAACAAACTAGGTCTGAATATTAGTTCAGTGAAATTGTGCAGGCTGTACAGGGGTGTCCACACACCTCAAGGTAAGTCACCCCCATTACGGGTTACACTGGACTCTGCCGAAGAGGCCGAAAAGGTACTATTGATGGCCCAGGTACTAGCCACCGACAGAAGCTTGAACATAAGGGTGAGACAAGACAGACCATGGGCTGTCAAACAAATGGCGAGGGAGTCACCGGAACTTTTGCCTTCTATCTCCATGGTGTTCCGGAGCTGGAAACGGGCACTGCCTGTGAAAAACACATGCATGACGTACAGCAGTGGAGATGGCTGTCGTCTCAGATGGCCCTTGGCGCTTCTGGAGCCATCTCCATTTCCCGACTACCTCGCCCCGCTCATCTCACACTGATTAGCTCCCCAAAGCTGCTAAGTGTCACATTCGACTCCCCAGAGCAGTTGGCCATAGCACTTCAACGGTGGTATGAGGCCAGGGGAAATTGGGAGGACACATCCGATGCTGCGAAAGCAGACCTCGAACCATAAGGAGGTAGCAAACGGAGGCTTTAATACGTCCCCAAGCTTCAGTGACACTAGAGCGATACAGTTCTGAGAATAATAGTCTGTGCCACCCAAGTTTCCTACCTAAATCCATTGGAAAAAACCACAACGGGCCGGTTCCCTCGGAACTGGCTAACTAGTCCCAACATTAAGTCCCCTACCAGCAGACAGCTTCAAGTCAACTACCCTACAACACGCTGAGGTTGTAAGACTCACTGTCACCTGCCTATATAGCAATGTGAGGGGGCTGAGAGGAAAAATAGGTGAACTCCGAAATCTCCAAGCACACCTACAACTGAAAATGATCATTCTCACCGAAACATGGCTAACTCCCACTATCGCCGATAATGAAATCAGTATAGGTGATATGGTTTTGGTCAGGAGAGACAGGGACAATAAGGAAGGAGGGGGAGTTGCTATATACTTTGATAGGCAACTTAAATGTGTGCGCGCAACGGACCCACCACTTATTGAACTCCCAGACTCCATATGGCGTCATTTCACCGTAGGCCACACCAAGCATTTTCTCGGTGGCATCTACCAATCTCCCACCTGTGGGGCAGAGCACAATCAGCTACTTTTCAGCACTATCACAGGGATACGAGACTTGGGCTATGACCAAATCACCATTGCTGGAGATTTCAATGCCCCATCACTGAACCTTGGCTCGGGGTATGCTAAGGGAAAATTTGGCCGAAATCTATTGCAAGCTATTCGGAACACGGGACTGACTGAGAACGTTGGAGACGACACTAGGTGGCACGCTAGTGGAAAGTCATCAAAACTAGACTACATTCTAACTAGTGACCAACTTCTTGTCGAAAAGGTCCAGATCATGACTCCTCTGGGAAGTAGTGACCATGCAGTCATAGGTTTCGACCTCGTTCTCCGTGAGCATTTGCAGTGGGACGTTACGCAACCATGTCTGTGTTAAAGCAAGGCTGACTATGCTGAAATGCGGAGGCTCTTGTCCGATGCAGACTGGCCCTTAGCATGGGATGAGCTGTCTGTGGATGAACCCCGGGAAGCGGTAAAAAAGATTATTCATACAGTAATCTCGGATACCGTCCCTTTAGTCACAACACAGCCCAAAAGAAAGTCATCATGGTTAAAGAGAGGCACGCAGCGTATTCTGCAAGCAAAGCGGAAGGCTTGGTTTACGTGGCGCGTATCTAAAAGCCAGATTGACCACGGTGCACACCTGGAACTCAGGAACCGGTGCAATGCAAGAGTCAGGAGGGACAGGAGGTCATTCCAGGCTAACCTTGCTACAAAACTCCTGGCAAACCCGAAGAATTTGTACCGATTCATGTCGGAAAGGAAACCAACCAACCAGGGGGCATGCGCCTTAGTAGGCCAAAACGATCTATATCTCACTAGTCTGGAGATGGCTGAAACATTTAGTTTAGCCTTCGTCAAACAACTAAACAGCAATGTGGGTATTACCGTTACGGACCAAAATGGTGGCATCACTATCTCACGGGAGGAAGACCAAACAGCCGCCCCCCAAATAAACCCTGCAATAGTGCTGAGAAAGCTGCAGCGACTCATACCTGGAAAGTCCCCAGGTTGTGATAACATCAGGCCATCTGTTCTGAAACAGTGCGCTGAAGCTCTCTGTAGGCCTTTATGCGACTTGTTCCAACACTCCATGGAATCGGGGAAACTGCCAAAGGAATGGAAAAGAAGCATCCTTTCTCCGATCTTCAAGGGTGGGGATAGGCAAAATCCCACCAGTTATAGACCAGTAGCTCTACTCCCAGTGGTATCGAAAGTACTGGAAAGTATTATTGATGATCACATCAGGGAATATCTGGATAGGTCTAAAATACTTCAGGAAAGGGCGATCCTGCGTCACTAACTTATTATCAGCTTGGGACGACTGGACATCATGCTGGGATATGAATGTTCCAGTCCATGTGATCTTTCTAGACTTTGAGAGGGCATTTGACACTGTTCACCATGACCTTCTCCTACACAAATAAGCCAGGTAGGTTTAGGTAAACCACTTCTGTCATGGTTGAAGGACTACCTAACTGAAAGGCAATTTTGCACCAAGGTCAATCGAGTCCGATCATCTTGGCACAGCTCGTCATCAGGAGTGTCGCAGGGTTCTATCCTGGGACCACTGATGTTCTTGATTTTTATCAATGATCTACCATGTCGTCCACGCTGCCCGACTCTTCTATACGCTGATGACGTGAAGATATAGAGGGCGATAAAGTGTCCGGAGGACTCAGATAGACTGCAGACAGATCTAAGGCTTCTGGAAGACTGGGCGGTAACCAGTGGAATGACTTTCAACCTGAAAAGTGCAAAGTAGTGAAATTACGCACCTGTAGACTGCAGAATGCAAGTTACACCCTGTGCAATGAAAGCTTGTCCTGCTCAACGTCGGAACGTGACTTAGGTCTAGTTCTAACGGAGAAAATGGACACAAGCGTAAATTACACGGGGGATGTAGCGAGGGCATATGCGGTCATACACTTTACACGTAGACATTTAGGTGCACTCACTCCTGAGCTCTTTCTAAGGTTGTATAAAACATACGTCAGACCGCATCTTGAAGTGCATAATATCATTGCACCCCCACTGCTTAGAAGAGACGCCAACCTCTTGGAAAGAGTCCAACGGCGGGCAACAAAAAGAGTGGTTGGTCTCCGAAATAAACCACATGATGAAAGGCTGAAAAATTAGGCCTATTCACACTTAGTTACCGTCGTCTTAGGGGGGATTTAATTACTGCCTACAAAATAACAAATGATCAGAATCACCCAAACAAAGGTGTTCTGCCATTGATTAGGTATAGGCTCCCTCGTGGAAATCCTAGAAGGATAGCTCATCAGAGGTCAAGGATCCGGGTGCGCTCCCACTTCTTCTCCCTGCGGGTTCGCCATCCCTGGAATTCCTTACCGGCAGATGTGGCTATGGCACCATCTGTGAATGCCTTTAGGCGAAAGCTGGACAACCATGCAGCGACGCAAGGACTTCATCCAAATGGCCTATCCCCTTAAAATCGCATACACCATTCAAAGGTAGACAATTAAACTGGTCGTTTAACTTCTTTACATTCTCTTCAGTCTTACTCTCCTGACAGCTTTAACTACACCTATTATTATTATTATTATCATTATTACTGGTATATATATATATATATGTATACCGGTTGACTGACTGTTGTTACGTTTTCTTATTCTTTTTCTGTCTGTTAGTCTGAATACCTTTAGTAATTATATCTATTATTATCTCTTTTCTTTTGAAGACGATGCCGAAGGACCAACTGGTGAAAGGATCAACCCCATTCACAGTAGTAACAGTCTTAACACACCTCATACTACAAACCACATATAATTAATCCCTGCACTACTCCTTTTGGAGTCAACCAAAGCTACGACAGTCGAGTGACGGGACGAGCTACGCAGACGTTTACCGAAGATCAGGAACCTCTACCTCACAATCAAGAGGCGAGCACAAAGAAACCAAATTGGTTTATACTAGCTCTTAAAAACGATATTGGATGGTCGGAGAGAGTCCTAACCACTGTGCTACCGGCGCACAAGAGCTTAAAGTACACGAAAGCCCCAGTACTGTATTTTGAATGAAGTTAACTTGAGGTTTGGGATGATGTTTGAAACAAGCAGAGTATATCTACTCAGTCAGTGTAATTTTAAGTGATGCGCTACAAATGTTATGGGTGGTTTAGGTGCTTTCGATCTTTTCAATTACTTGCGGTATATTCCTGGGGATAAATAGTTTCTTAGGCGCAACTACCTGTAATTCTTCTCTTCCTGATTTTTAATAACAGTATATGAAGACTTCAGTCCTCGAACGTATAACTCAGCTCTGAACTTAGTATGTCAGGTGATACATCACTTAGCTTCCAGAAAATCAGTGGCCGCCCATCTCCAAATGATATTGTAAGTGCTTGTTTTGGTAAATCTTTGCTGACACCTGGCGAGAACACTCTGATTATCCACATATCTTTCTTACGATAAACATATTCACAATACGAATATTTAGTAATTCATGCATGCATTCCCTAAATAAATCAGGCTCGTTATGGATAATTTTATTCAATAGTTCTATGCGGCATTCTATTTTGTATTGTTAGACCTGAAATCCATCACTCCAGTTTTAGCAATTTATCTCTATCAAAGGGAAAGTTGCTCTCTGGAGATCTTAGGAGTATGCTAGTTCTTACTAAGTTCAGCTCATTGTTCAAGTTATATTCAGTGTACATATATATATGTTAATATATACGTAGTTTAATCATCAAATGACACTATGAAACAGTTTAGTCTCAGGGAATATCGGTACATCTTTTGTATTCATAGTTTAAAATTATTTCTTAATAGTGACGACGTTTGTAGGCATTCACAGAATGATCGATAATAATTTCAGGGATAGTATAATCCATTTTGTCTTACTTTTTTATATTTCAGTTAACAGAAAAATATATTTGCTAACTACACACAGGCTGTGACTAAAATTTATACTAAGAATCTGTCTCTCAAGTCTTAATGGAAATCAAATAACAGATTCTAAGTACCGCTATTTTCCAGGAAAATCACGATTAAACTTGTTAACCTGATATATATATTGATTTGTTTGCTTATAAGCTGCAGTATTTAAGTGAATAAGATCATTCCCATATCAAGATTGAAGTATTTGGAATGTGTTTGAAATTTTCACTTTGGTTGCGAGCGAAATTTACGCTTTAGTTCATCACAGATCTTACTTCTCGCAGTCATTAGGAAAATCAAGGCGTTTTCTACATAAACTCATTAAAACTTGAAAGCATGTTCTCCAACCAAATTGATATCAGTCGAAAAGGTAAAGCGGCTCATAGATTTTGACTTCCAAATTTTCCTAAATACCACGGAGGCGGGTGTCAGCTTTTTTTCGCCTTCAGGCATCTACTCTGCAATCGATGCATACACTTCATATCCTTTTTTATCCATTGTTTTGTGTCTTGGTATTTCAGTGTAACTCTCAATATGTTGTATTCATCTCTCAGGCCTATCAAAATCTGGGCAACCAGCGACTACGACAGGCCATAACCTGATGGTTTTAATCCCAGTTCGTGTGGGGGATATACATTTAGTTGCTGATGTTTATTATATTTCATTCCATTTGATGGAGGTAAATTTGTTACAATATGGGAAATCTCCTATGTGTAGACGACTTAGGTGATAATGTAATTGCCTATTTGATAACAGTGGATACTTAGCTGCGTGTGATGTGGCTTATTGGCTTAAACTTTCAACCATTGGGTCCTGGCTTCAAATCCGACTTGGTTAGTTATGTGATATCATTGGCCTTCATACAGCATAGGTGGCTCATAGCCTGGTATGTGTTGTCCGAACTGTATACGCATTTTAGGATAACTGCGTAAATATTGTAACGAAGAAATTAAGTCATTTCTCGTTTGTTATATCTCTAGCAAAACACAGTAACTTTGATTTTTCACCCATAACTTTCATCCCAATGCGATGAATGTCTGCTGTCGTGAGGTGTAATGTATTGAGGTTATCTTAATAATAACTTTTAAGTTAGTGTGTTCGGTTGTATTTTAAATATAAAGTTTGGAGCATAAAAAGCAGTATTTGAAGGACTACCATATTAGATGGTAACCACAGTACAATGACAATTATTTATTGTAAACTGTGACACAGACAGATTAACGTGGAACACCACAAAAAGGTGCTTCCAGTTAAATAACTACACTGCTACAATATCATGGGTGAAAATGAACGCTTATACAAATGTACCAAAGTAAACAGGTAAGATGTGAAATATGACCAGAAAACATTGCAATATTAAAATGCGTTAGACAATAATCACCTGAAATAACTCTTCCATAGATAATAGTGAATTAATCAATAAAAATCAATTAATTAAAGTGGAAGGCAATATGGTAGTCCTTTGATTGGACACTAGTAACTAGAATGATGTGTATAGTCCTTTTTTGGTGCAGACTGAATTCTATTATTCCGGTTTGCAATGTGGCCAATATTCTAGGCAGCTTGCCATCACGGTGAACATTGATTTGATAATATATTAGATGGTTGGAGGCAATCGGCCACAGGAAGCCTTGGCTATACCTAGTTTTAGTGCTAGTTGGCATCCACCGGCCAGCAAGGCGTATCTGCAACGTCGAAGGAACTCATGTCGCTTCTGAGATTCGAACCAGCGTCACCCAGTGAGTACTGCAGTCAGAGACTAGACATATCACACTAGTTACTAGTGTCCAGTCAAAGTATCCAATACAGTCCTACAGGAGATCAATCGCGAGCCAGAATAGCTCCGTGTTAACGTGTTTGCTTATAATTATATGCCTGTAAGTGCTGGTATCTTGACCAGTGGGGTACAGAAGGTCGGATGTGAGAACAAATATTTGCCCCTGATGACATTCATTGGCTAGTGCCAGTCGTGAATTGGTAGAAGTTGGAATTCATAGGTTAGCCATTGGATTGTGTCCCAGCGGCTTAATGTTCTACGAGCTTATCTTTGTACCGGAAGGTCCTGCATTTGAAGCCTGGTGGTAGGTGAGTACTGATGAAGAGCCACAAGCTAGAAGGAAACAGCTGTCCATTACTCCCATGTTTCCCAATGGTTCTCTAGCAGATGTCAGCTCATGATCAAATGCTGAAATTATATGTGTTGCAAGTAGAAGAGTAATAAAACGTCTTTTTTTCCAATTTATTTTTCAGAAAAGTTATGAATACTCACAAAATTCAGAAGCCGGTGACCTAAGCGTATACAGTGAATATTGTACTAAAGTCACCGACACTCTAAGTCATAAATCAGAACTCGATCATGCTGAAGATGATGAACCGCCTAGTCCTTTATCACTTCAACAAGATGGTGTATTCTCATTGGTTCAAAGTCCACCATTTGAACATGATCAAACAGATCGTATGTCTCCTGAAAATCATCATCATATCATCTCAGAATTATTTACTGATTCAAAGAGTAAAACACGCGCAAGTTTATCTGAAGCTGACTCTGTTGTAATAACTGATCAAACAAAAGCACCTGTTTGTAGTACTATTGCTTGGATATCTTCTGATCTGCACAATATAAGTCAGTCAGAACAGGCGAACTCAATCTCCGGAGATATACCTAGTCTACCGTGTCCAGGAAATCTTCCAATTATTAACAACAACAACAATAGTAATACAAAAGATCATCTTCTTGCTGTTGTTGACTCTTCTCAAAATTCTGTAATGAATTCTCCTACTCCAAATGTAGAAGGACCCAAACAGGATGCTTCTTCAACAACAGTGATCAAACAAACAAATTTATCAGCTATTGCATGTAGAAAAAGTGTAAAAGGTAATTGAAGGTACCAGTTACCTGCTTGTTTTATATGAAGCATTTTATTCCAAGTGATACTCTAATTGTTTTAGTCATATAATCTTAGTAAAAATCCTACCTTATGATTACCTATTAAATAATTTTCCACTGGAGTAGGAATTCCACTGGTTACGACTTCTCACTATAACTCTAGGATACTCCGCCCCGTAACCCGGTGGGTGCGTGCTGTAGATTAGTTCCAAGCCAGGACGAAACGGCTGTCCAGTACTCCATGGATTTTCTAGATTATTTGGCTTAGCTGGGTCAATCATTTTAGATCTAGCTAAATTTCTGTTATCGTGACCTAACTCACTGACTGACTGACTGACTTGTTTCCACATAGAAGTTTTCACAGATGTGCAGCAGTTCGAGTTGCCACTCTCCCTCCACGTAACACACGAAACAAGAGAAGAGAGTAAAAAGAAATGCAAAATAAAGACAATAGACAGAGGTATGGGGCAAAAAGAATAGTAATATGGAAGGACAATGGAGTTTCACTGGATATTATAAATCATAAAGAGTGGATGCATCTGCGCCAACCATTGGTTTTTACCATCCCGAGGACTCCAACCAGACAGGAAGTCTACACCTTCCTACGTGGCTGGCTGGCTTAAACTAACTGTTGTGGATTTCACTGACTGACGCCACGTGATCTAATTGACATGCATAAAAGATATATTTATATAAATCTCCGCGAAATTTAAACAAACAGTACCAACATTTCTTTTGGCAAACTGACTGAACCTTCGGACAGGTGGGAATTAGTTATTTCAATTTCTCTGAGAGTTGTATAAATATGATCTTTACATATGTCTAGTTTCCACTCAGCATCCGATTATTGTGTGGCTTTTCGATAAAATCCTGATCAGAGTTAGTATAAATAACCTAAGTGACCCTGATCTACTTCACTGACAGTCATTACATGGTATTTGGTAAATAATATTATTTCTCCTAATTGGGTTTATTTGTCCTTAAGCTGACAAAGTTTGTCTCTGAGTGGTTTGGCTAGTTTGAATGTAATCCATGGCTAATTGTATGGCTTCTGATCTTTATGTGGCAGTAATATTGATGCTCTGATTTCCTTATAATAATTTATATTATTTTCATCGTTTACTTTACTATTCTTATTTTTCTTATGGGTCTCCATCCATTTTTGAATAAAAATCTAGTGGGTAGTTATTCACCAGTAATGTTGTCTTTATTTATTTGATTTCATTATTTAAATCTTCTGACTTGCCTTAATATTAGGCTCCCGACTCGATTGCATAAACATACAAATAAACCTACCTGTAACCGATTTCCGGGGTGGGGGGAGTGATTCATAGTCTAAGTAACTATTAGAGTGTAACGGTTTTCTATGCCTATTAGCCTACGTGTCATCACCCTGTTTTTTCGTTTTATTTGACAGTCTAACATAGCTAAATCACCCTGAATAGGATGAGCCGCTGTGGGCCACTATCCTTATCTGTTATAATTAGTTGTTGTCAGATGTATAACTGATATGCATATTTACCAATTGGTGGGAAGTCTTAACCAGTTGGATCCGCCAAATTGGTCGTAGGGACAAATACTCACTCGCACTATGTGTCGCCAACTGGCAGAAGTTAGAATTTATGATCCATTGGATATTGTCCCAGTGGCTTAACAACACACAAGTTCGGTGAAGAGCCCCAGACTAGGACAAAACGATTGTCAACTGCTCCCTGGCTTTTAATGTTTTTCTAACTGAAGTTATTTTGTAATCAAAACTGAAATATCTGATGTCTGAATGAATATTTTTGCTATATTGAAATCAATTAAATTCCTGCTGGTCAACACTCAGAAACATAAACAGATGTCAGTTTGCACCTATAAAAAGAACTGAAGATTCTACAAGTATTCGCCATGAATAAGAAAACTGTGCGTGAAATGGATGATTTATTGATTCGGTCGGTCGGTTTTCGACATAGAACTTTGCACATATGTGCGGCAGTTCAAGTCGCCACACTCCATGTAGCATACAAACCAAGAGAAGAAAGTAGGAGAAATGCATAATATAGTCAGTAAACAGAGGTGTGAGACAAAGGAATAGTAATAACGGAGAACAAAACAGTTTCATCGGAAATCATAAGTCACAAGGAGTAGATGCATCTGCGCCATCACTGAGAACGATTTTGAGCCATGTCACCAATTGTTTCCAACCATTGGTTTTTACCGTCCCGAGGACCCCAACCACGAAGTCTACATCTTCCTACGTGGCTGGCTTAGACTAACTGTTGTGGATTTCCTTGACTGGTGCCATGTTTTCGTTTGACCGCCACTAGCTCTTTTCCAGCCTGGCCCTATATCAGCTAACATTGCCCATTGTCGAGGAAGGCGATGACTAGGCATACGTAGCACATGTCCTAACCATCTCAGTCGATGTAATTTCACAGTTTCGTCGACTGATTTCCCCACCTTACCTAGCACTCGACGCCTAACCTCAATATTAATTATTGATTAGTTAATATATTTATGATAATATAAGTGGTAAGTTGAAATCTTATTGTTTGAGTTGTTTTCAAATCTTCCGTAAAGGTTAGTGTTCCCACTTATTTTAAATCTTGTAAAATCTATCTTGTAGAGCTTTATGGACAACCAAGTTGGTGGGGTGATGGTGACAATGACTATTCTTACCCGCATACATCATCCTTTAAGAATCAAGAAGCCTTCCAACCTGCTTTTCGAAAATACAGTAAGTCTGTCAATTGAATATCATTCTTACTCACTCAACCTTCTTGGAAAGTTATGTAACCGTTCAGTGTATGATTCGCCAGTCGGTCACATTCACACCGGACCGATAGCTGCTATCTTGATGTGATAGTCAGACTTGCATATCGTAATGACTCAACAAGCTACACTAACTAAAATGAATATTGTTGCGGGTCCTTCCATCCCAGAAAACTCGTCTGAATAGCAGTTAGACTAAGAATACTGTATGCCGTTTACACTATTTTGGGGACCCGATGGTGAAGTTTCTCAACAAATATGTAGGAGGAAATGGAGATGGACTAAACACACGCTGGGGAGATCATCAAATGACATCGCGCACCAGGACTTCTAGTGGGACTCGAATGGGAAACGACGAGTTGGGCGTCACTACGAGGGTGACTTGGAGGAGATCGTCGTCGTCGTCGTCGGAGATCAGAGACTATGAGCGATCGTAGTTCCAGCTAAAAAGGACCACAAAAAGTAGGAAAAAGTTAAAGCGTACTGTTGATGCTCTGTGTTCCGCTTGGAACCCAAAGGGGGGGAAGTCGTACTTCTGGTGAATAGGGGTGTAACAGCAGTAAAGTGTTCCCCTCGGATAATCAGCAAGCCAGCTGATACTGGCTCTTCACTCTGGTGGGAGAGGGTTAGAGTAGGTTGATCCTGGAAATTATACATCCTGGGTTACCTTGCAGTGGCCCTTAGCCGACAGTAAGAACTTTTTACAGACACAACTCAAAAAATCACTTCAAATAGGCTATGCGTGTGTGTGTGTGACCAGCCTGAAGCAGTTTCCCATTGGGCCCTGCAGTCACGTGAGACTAATGCTTCATCTGTCTCGGGTATTTCAAGGGAAAATCAACTTCCACTAGGCCTCCCCCGCATACAAGGCTTCCCTGAATAAATTACCTTTCTGAAATGAATACTTTTCGGTTTAAAGAATGATATTACCTCCTGTCTATGACAAATCAGTAGTATAAACGAGTAAGAAACACACTGTGGAAGGATAGAATACGTCAGAAACTTCTGGTGAATATTTCGAAATATTAGCAAAGAAATTTCGATTCTGAGCCTAGAAAATATGGTGGCTCAGCAGTAGGATGCTCGCCGACCATGCATTTAATCCGGGGTTCGATTCCCGCCTGGCTCACATCTTGATCTCCCCTAGCCGGTTATAAGCCAGTAAAAGATTGGGGAAGGTTGAATGTAAGGCTAACAATCCCACTCCGTAAAAAGCAAACACCACTGCTACTGAAACTTCAAAGCTCTAGCTTGTTGAAGCCCTCCCAAGTTCGACTGGGAACACAAAGGAATAGGAAAAAATTATTTTGGAAGAGGGACAGTTAATCCCATGACATTTGAATATAGCATGTAAGCGAACAATATCGTGTCGTGTTTTCAATTAGATCTCATCAGAATTTATTCTACCATACACACAACTTTACAAATAAGTGCTGAAATATAAACCAATCATGGCGATTTATCAATAGGATGATAAGACTGTACATATAAATTGTGCAATTAGTCACAATAATAATAATTTTATTCACAACAAAGATGAAAAAGTGTAGCGATTTGTGCTAATGACAAGCATAATAAAAAACAGCAATGATTAAACAAACAAATGTTCATATAGACATTGTCAACAAAGGCTAAGAAAAACAAAAATGGTCCGATTAAGTGATGCTAGATTGTAAGCGAAGTAAATAAACTATGTTTCAATGGAAATGAAATAAAGAATAACGGTTGTTAAAGAAGGGATTAGAAATTATAAATAAGGGGTGGCGGTGGCATCGTCTGTTGATTAGATCTTAACTGACCAAAGGAGGGATAATGTGACTGTACGAACTTCTTCTGAATGCGTAGTTTAGGCTTAATAGTTCGAGTACCGATCGCCTCAGCGATATTCGGTAGACAAATACGGAGTCCGTTGGAAAGGTTCAGTGGGATGCGATGAATTTCACCTTGAATGCTTTCGTTTTTTTTGCCACGGAATGCATATTAGAGTGTGAAGCCTTTATGGCTATGAGACCTGGCCATTGAAAGTGGAAGACATGAAAAGGCTGGCTAGTTGTCTTTGATCATAGGTGCCTGTGTTCTATCTAACGTGTTAGCTGGTGGTATAATAAGGTGATCAATATTGAGGTTAGGTATCGAGTGGTAGGTAAGGTGGGAAAATCAATCAACGAGGTTGTGAAGCAGCTGCATCGATTGTGATGGTTAGGACATGTGTTGCGCACGCATGCCTAGCCATCGCCTTCCTCGACAATGGGCAATGTTAGCTGATATAGGCTGGATCAGGTTGTAATAGAACTAGCTGTAGTCAAACCAAAACATGGCTTCATGAGTCAATGAAATCCACAACAGTTAGTTCAAGGCAGCCAGCCAAATAGGGAGGTGTAGACTTCCAGACTGTTTGGGGTCCTCGGGATGGCAAGAACCAATGGCTGCAGACAATTAGTGATATGGCTCAAACTCATCGTTGTCAATGGCGCAGATGCATCCACTCCTTGTGACTTATAATATCCAATAAAATTCTATTCTTCTTCCATATTACTGTTTTTTTTTCCCTCACTCACACTTCTATTTATTATTTCTCTTTTGAATCTGTCTTTACTCTCTTCTCTTGCTTTTTGTGCTACATGGAGGGAAAGAGTGGCAACTGGAAATGCCGCACATCTGTGCAAAGTTCTATGTTGAAACCAGTCAGACAGTCAGTCATTCTTAGTCACTTTTTAAATATCAATATCAGCTTTAGTATTCTGATTTTCCTCACTTATTCCTTACAATGTTAAGATAATGTGTGATTATGAAGTGAAAGATATATTAGGGTAATTTTTTCCAATGGGCACAAACTGAGGAGAATTGATTTCTTCTGATCATAGTATATATACACACATATAGCAGAGAATTACGTCTCAAGATCGATATCCTGGTTGTCAAATAACCTCACTGTTAAGCATATAAAAATCATAATTAGCTTTACATTTCAACATTTGAGTAGTGTACATTAGAAAACAGGATATGTACAAGTAACAATGATGACTGTGTTCTACAATCTAATCACTATGTCTGTTCAGGGAAGCACTTTCAGTGATGGAGTGGTCGCCAACCCCGCTTGTAGTTTAGGATTTGATTCTCGACTGGCGTGCTCCTAAATGTCGCCAATAGTGAGCCTGTCAAACAGATTAGGTTCGGCGTGAGGCTGGCTAACTTACCCTTTAGAAGAGAACAACACCGCCACCACTTCCACTAAAAATCCAAAGTTTGAAACCCAATGTTCTAGTCTCTGATTACAAGGAATACAACCCGGATAGGGATTTCTCTTGTGTAACTGTTTGGTACTGTAATTATAATGGAAAATAAAATGACAATTGATGCATGGTGAGTAGCAGTGGAATGTAGGATGCGTATTTCGCCCCATTTGGGACTCGTCATCTGGATGCACCTGTATTCGCCAATGAGTGGTGGTCTTCCCACCGACACTCAGACCCAGTGCCCATAGTTTCAAACGCCAAAGCGTTATCCACTAGAACACTTGAGCCACGAGAGCCATTGCCTCTTGTGCAACGGGTCTTATAATTTCTTCAATTTTTTATTTAGATTTTCTCGTCGATTGATTGAACTGAGCACTTCGGCATTTATCCAGCCTGTGTTATTAGTAATCTTATTACTTTCTAAGTTGGTTTACTTTTCGCACTTTCAATCAAACTTCTGTGGTCTCTGTTTCAGGTGCAGAAACTGAAGTCAATTCAGTGTCGAATGAAAAGTCTGTCAGACCACCGGCTGAAGCATTTGTCGTGGATTTTGGATCTCCTTCAAGACCTCGTTCAGAACGACCTGCGTCATTATCTGGTAGCCTTAGTCAGTGTATTCCTGCTAAACTTCGTCAAGGCTTGGATGAGAGGGAAAGAAGAAAACGCGAGAAACAAATGGAAGTTCGAAGACTGTCAACCTCTGGAGTGGCGAATAAAGTAAGCACGTGGTGGGGGAGAGGTGATTTTTGAAAAAAAGGTTCTTTTGGATCACTGGAACCATGTGAGAGAAGCTGTTTGGCTGTTGTCACCTCTCTCTACACTTGAGATTGGTCATGTACAATGGTAGAGTCCTCCCCCCCCCAACTATGCGGGAGGCCTGAGTCCCAACCCAGGTCGAAACCTGACTTCAGTCCATAGAATCTTTTACAAATGATTTAAGCCATGTATGGAGGTGTAGATCTACCTAGTTGTTTGAATCCTCAGGATTCTAAGATCCACTGTCTGGAGACTATTAGTAATATAGGTAAAAATCGTTCTCAGTGGCTAGCGCAGATGCATTCACTCTTTGTAATATACCCGATATCCATTAAACCTTCATGGCTTTTTCCACGTTACTATTCCTTCTCCCGCAAATTTTTGCCGCTTATAACTCTTTGGCTTCTCTTTTGTCTACCTTTGTGTACTGCACAGAGTATGGTAACTTAAATTGCTACGCTTTTAAGCAATTTTCTCTGTTGAGACTGAGTCAGTCAGTCAGTCAGTCAGTCAGTAGACAGGATTATATCTCCCTCCCTTTCTCGAGTAATAACTCAGGCGTTCCGAGTGGAACACTTAAGTAGGGGTGAGGTTGCTAGTCTCATTCACAATCTTCCCTCTTTTCTGGGTTAATAAACTAACTAGGCAAGACTGAGGATTGCGTCCGCCAAGAATCAAACCCTGGGCCTCACATACGTGGTTGGTGTGTATCCTATCATTGAACCACTCACTGATGCACACACAAGTTAGTATATCCTGGAAGGGTATTTTTTGTGTACATTGTTGAATGATTACATAACGAATGAAATCGGTTTGGTTTTCAAGAGTTGGTTTGTACGGATTTGATTTGTGTCAAGTTTGACCATGGATCAGTTATAGAACCATTGAAAACCAATCAGGGAGTATTGGACAGGTAGCTGTTTCGTCCTAGTGCCTGGGACTCATCGACCCAAAACCTTCCAGTTACAAGACAAGCTCGTAGACCATTCAGCCACTGGGACCCGATTCATCATTGGGAATCATCATCGTGATTTTAGCGCGACCAAGTCCTGAGTTCGAACCCTGCCAGTGAGTCCCAAAGAAGGGATGATGAGTCAGCTGTCCAGTACTCCCTACGAGTTTTCAATGATTCTCTAACTGATATCAATCCGTGATCAAACTTGAACTACTGATTTTTATTATGGAACAAAATAACTTGTGAGTATTAGAATGGTGGTGACTGACTATGTGAATAATTAAATCGTTCCTGACTAATTCACAAATTCATTGATTCATGTCAATTATGTATGTGTCTGAGTAATATGTAGGTTGTACTGTCTTTTTATTATAGTTAGGTTAGTTAGTTAATACTAAGGCATATTTAACTGTGCCTTCTGTCAGAAGACTAGTTGGGATTGTTGTTTTTCGTGTGTGTGTGTGTGTGTGTGTGTTGTGTTTGTGTGTTATGCCGTTAACATTTTTAGCTAAAATTGTCGCTTCTTTTGAAGACTACAAATAATAATTACTGACTTTCTTATTCATACCATAATAGTTTATAATTTTATGTGTTTTAAGCGCGTTTTCTTTGTTTTTATACTCATATTTACACCAGTGACTATAATCGATATTCCTGTGTGTTTGTGTGTGTGTGTAAAAAAGCCTTGTTGGAGTTTTTTAATTTATTTATCGGATTAATAATTAGTTTCAAGTTACACCACGAGCTGACACATCAGTTAGAGAAGCACCATTGAAAACCATAGAGAGAGAGAGAGAGAGAGTACTGGACAACTGTTTCGTCCTAGTTTGAGACTCTAAAGCAGTACACACTCATGACCCCAACCGCCAGGAGTCGAGCCCAGAACCGTCAAGTTACGAGGTGAGCCCGTTGACCTTTCAGCTATTAGAATGGAACTCGATTATTGCCACCCCCAACCCACCTCGTTTTCGATGGTTCTCTAACTGATTTCAGCTCATTGATCTAACTTGGGACCAGCCAAATATCTGTAAATCAACATATGAATATTAATTAATCCACAGTACGTTCAGTCTTATATGCCTCATTCCTGGTTACTTATCCTCTGGAATTTGATGATTTATAATGACAGTTTTACAAAAATAATGCATTGCATAATTAGCTATACGGGGATCAATGACTGGTCAGATTGTAAGTTCGTTAGTTTAGAAGCTTTTAAGGATGCTGCCTTCATACGTACCATAATCTGAGGATGCAACTCATAGATATTTATCAGCAATTCGTGTTGGATTGGATTATGTAGGAGATGGTGCGTGTGGAGCGAGAAGACAAGAATACGTTGGACAGATAAGAAGACTCTAGAACATCTGCACCTCTCGAATTATTTATGTCCAATGCCATAACAAACTGGGAGAAGAATCTAGCAGGCAACGAAGACAGGACTTCAAGTGAACGAAGAGAAGATGGAGGTGATGAAGATAACCAACCAATAACAACAACAACAACACCAACCAGAATCAATCACTATCAACGGAAGAGATATTTGAAAGAGGTCACTTCCTTCACTTATGTGGGAAATATCGTTTCAACTACAGGCAGACGACAGGACGGATGAGGATGTCAAAACCAGCGAGCCGGAGTCAGAAAGGCAAGACAGACATTCATGTCTCTGAAATCAGTTTGAAAATCTTCTTCACTCAGCACAGAGAATAAGACTTGGATTTTCAACACAAATGTTAAATCCATCAGTTCTTCTATATGAGTTAGAAACTTGCAGAACGCCTCACGAAGAGCATTTCTAACAAACTCATTCGTTCGATATTGAAGACCAAATGGCTGACTAGAAGAGGTTAGCATCAAGAAATTCTAGTAATAAAGCAACCAAGAGCCTATTGGCCAACAAATATCCCGAAGAAAATGGAGATGGATTAGTCACACGCTGCGGAGTATGTCAGGTGATATCGGACACCCAATCCCTTGAGTAGAACCCGAATGGGAAACTAGGAGTTGGACTTCGGTCCGAGGATGACATTGGATGAGATCGTTTGAACAGGAGATGAGAGCCTATAGGCCCTCGTGGGGCAGCTAAAGTGGACTGAAGAGAACGGGAAAAAGTGGAGATGTTCTGCTGTGGCCATTTATTCCCCTCTCGGAACCCAAGGGAACAATAATAATAATAGTTTAATGGTGTTCCTTTATTTGGTGATGAAATCAGTATTTCTCTTTACTAATTGAAGCATTACATGTGGATGCTTTTCGTTTGTAATAGCAACACTGTTATGATACAGTAATGGTTATTATCTTTTGTCAGATTTATTCTATGGTTAACCTTACAGTTTGCTGAAATTAATATTTTGGACATGCGATTGATATTGATCTTATTCATCTGAAATTCTCAGTCTATGTTGATATATTGGTTCCTGCCACGGTCGATCCGACGATGTGTGAAGGTGGTTGTGATGTTATTTGAATGTAGATGGCTAGCTTTAGAATCTAAGCTGCCCATTGCGTCCTATTTAGGTGAGGGTTGTCAATTGGATATACCTGCATCCCTAGTGAGGCTAGGAGCTTTCACCCACTGTTTCTAACATCAAAGTATTAGCACTACTAGACTGGATATTCCAGTTCAACAGAACCAATAATCACTGGGAATTTCAAAATATTAATTTTACCTGCTGCCTAAGTTGTGTTTGTTGTGGCCGAATGGCCTACTACATGTATATTTAGCATTTTGAAATAACGGGTGGTGAGTTAGAGAGTTCCAGTAGGACATAATATATTTAAGTTCCAGTAGGAACATTATCACTCACTAGGGATGCTGGTATATCCAGCTAATATGTTCCAGGTAATATGTGGAACACGCAACCTGGATCTCACTGCCTCCACCTACCAATTAAATAGCATCATGCTTACATTAGGGCACGATTTTTCTTTTTAAATGCACCGTCTTCTGTGAATTTCACGCAATTTTATTATTATTCTTATTGTAATCCAGAATTTCTTGTTCGTATTGTATCGTAGTACGCACAACCGGTAGAGATCGAGTAATTTAAAAACAAATAAACTTAGAACAAAACTGCCAACAGAAGATATAGTACTAGAAGTGCAGCTATGCGTGACTTCTAAATTATTTAAATTCCAAGGGAGGATATGCAAACGAACCAAGGCAGTTGCCATGGATCATCAATATCCCCGATTGTTGTAGATATATGCATGGATAGGTGGGAAAACTTAGCGAATGAAACGTTCAGTCCAACCCCAAAGTATGCTGAAGGTATGTAGATGACGCATTCACTGTACTTGGAATAACTGGATTCTTTGAACACTTCAACTGGGAGGTAGAGACAATTCAATTCACTTATGAATTAATATGTCAAGAAGGGGAGCTGCAAATGTTACATTGTTGCGTAAAAGGGAAAGAAGATGGGAAGTTAAACACTAGTGTTCACAGAAGACTCACACATTCATACAGATATTTGGATTTCCCATCATCCCACTCACTCTGTGTCAGTGAAAATAGGATTGATGAAATGTTTGAGTAATAGGGTACAAAAACTATGTAGTACCGGGGAAAATCTAAGACATGAAATGAGGTATATAAGAGAAGCTTTGAGACTCAATAATTACCCTAATAAGTTAGTCAGAAAGTATGTAGGGAAATGTAAAAATAAAAATAAATAATGATAGTAGTGATATTGATAATAATAATAATAATAATAATAATAATGACGATATGCATGTCAAACATGCGAGGGATAATGACAACACCAACAATAAGGAATCTAAATCATCAGTAGTAATTCCACACAAGGAAGGAATCTCTGAAACCTTACGCAGAATTCTTGACAAGGCAGGAATAAAAGTGGCTGGCATTCAAACCCACAGACTCAATTACGAACAAGCTTTGTCGATTAAAGGATCTTTCTGAACCCACTAGACAACACAGCTTAGTTTATCTAATACGCTGCTTGTATTGATTGTCAGGTCGAATACAGAAGTCAAAGTAGTA